TGGTCGACTCACTTAACCCTACGCGCGACGAATTCGCCGCGCTTCTTGAAGAGAGCTTCTCAGCGAATGAAGGTGCTGAAGGTTCCGTCGTCAAAGGCAAAGTCGTTGCTATCGAGAACGATCTCGCCATTGTCGATGTTGGTCTGAAAACTGAAGGCCGCATTCCTCTCAAAGAATTTGGCGCCCCAGGCAAGCCAGCCGAAATGGCCGTTGGCGACGAAGTTGAGGTTTTCCTCGACCGGATCGAAAACGCGATGGGCGAAGCTGTTCTCAGCCGTGAAAAGGCGAAACGCGAAGAAAGCTGGGTTCGTCTTGAAACAGCCTTCGAAGCGAACGAACGTGTTGAAGGTCATATCTTCGGTCGCGTTAAAGGTGGCTTCACAGTTGACCTTGATGGCGCCGTGGCCTTCCTGCCAGGCAGCCAGGTGGACATTCGCCCTGTACGCGATGTGACGCCGCTTCTTAATATTCCACAGCCATTCCAGATCCTGAAAATGGACAAGCGCCGCGGCAACATTGTTGTGTCCCGCCGGGCGGTTCTGGAAGAAACACGTGCGGAACAACGTCTTGAGCTTATCGAAACGCTCAAAGAAGGCGATGTACGCGATGGTGTGGTTAAGAACATCACCGATTACGGTGCGTTCGTGGATCTTGGCGGCGTTGACGGCCTCCTGCACGTCACCGACATTGCATGGCGCCGTGTGAACCATCCAAGCGAAGTTCTCACCATTGGTGAGACTGTGAAAATTCAGGTCATCAAGGTGAACCCTGAAACACAGCGCATCTCGCTTGGTATGAAACAGCTTGAGGCTGATCCATGGGAAGGCGTCGAAGCCAAGTATCCACTGGATTCCCGCTTCAAAGGCCGCGTGACGAACATCACGGATTACGGTGCATTTGTGGAACTGGAACCTGGCGTCGAAGGCCTTGTTCACGTCTCCGAAATGAGCTGGACCAAGAAGAACGTACATCCAGGCAAGATCGTGTCTACCTCTCAGGAAGTAGAAGTGCAGGTTCTGGAAGTCGATCCTGTGAAGCGTCGTATTTCGCTTGGCCTGAAGCAGTGCATGGACAATCCATGGGCCGCATTCGAAGATCGTTTCCCACAAGGCACGAAGGTCGAAGGCGAGATCAAGAACATCACCGAGTTTGGTCTGTTTGTTGGTCTCGACGAAGATGTCGACGGCATGGTTCACCTTTCCGATCTGGACTGGAACCGGTCGGGCGAAGAAGCCCTTCAGGATTACCAGAAGGGTCAGGTGGTCAATGCGGTTGTCCTCGACGTGGATACGGAAAAAGAACGCATCTCCCTTGGCATCAAGCAGCTTGATGGCGATCCGTTCGAAAGCGTTGGTGGTCTCACCAAAGGTGCAACCATCACGTGTACCGTTACTGCGATCCAGGATTCCGGCATCGAAGTCAGTGTCGGCGAAGAAGACTTCACAGCCTTCATCCGCCGGGCAGACCTTAGCCGTGATCGTTCCGAACAGCGCCCAGAGCGGTACGCTGTTGGTGACAAGATCGATGCGCGTCTGACGAATATTGACCGTGCGTCTCGTCGTCTGTCGCTCTCCATCAAATCGCTGGAAATTGCGGAAGAAAAGGAAGCCGTCGCACAGTATGGCTCTTCCGACAGCGGTGCGTCACTTGGCGACATCCTGGGTGCAGCCCTTAAGGGCGCAGACGGAAACGACGAAGGCGACAAGTAAGTCTCGGCCAGATATGATGGGGACAAGTTAGTTCCCGTCTGTCTGGAGAGATTTTCATGTCACTCGACATCGAAACCATTATTGACAGGCGGCGCCTCAAGCGCCGCCTTTCTCTTTGGCGCATTGCCGCGCTCGTCGCCCTTGGCCTCGCGATCATCGCTTTTCTGCCAAGTTCGGGCTTAAGCCCTGTCGGCGACCATGTTGCCCGCGTCACGGTAAGCGGCATCATTATTGATGATCGCGCCCAACAGCAGCTCATTCGCGAGATCGGCGACGATGACAGCGTCAAGGCACTGATGCTCTACATTAACAGTCCCGGGGGCACAACGACCGGTTCCGAAGCGCTGTTTGAGACTGTGCGGGAAGTATCTGAAACGAAACCCGTGGTGGCCGTTCTGGGGACTGTCGCAGCATCGGGTGGCTATATTGCAGCGCTCAGCGCAGACCATATCGTGTCGCGCGGCAATACAATCACTGGCTCTATCGGCGTCTTTTTCCAGCTCACACAGCTTACAGGGCTCATGGAAACCATCGGGGTGGATGTGGACTATGTGCGCTCAGGCGAACTGAAAGCACAGCCCAACCCCTATGAAGACCCACCCAGAGAGGCCATTGCCTCCACGCAAGCCATGGTCGATGCGTCTTATGACTGGTTCCTCGACCTTGTGGTGGACCGACGTGGGCTTGAGGAAGAAACCGCCCGGACATTGAGCGATGGCCGTATCTATACCGGCTTTCAAGCGCTGGAGAATGGGCTTGTGGATGCCATTGGCGGTGAAGAGGTCGCGCGCAACTGGCTCTTTGACGAACATGAAGTCGGCCAGGACCTGCCAACCGAAGAGTGGGTGGTTTATGACGAGACAGGCTTCGGACTTATTTCAAGCGATGCCACGGCCAACTTTATTGTCTCTGTTTTATCGTCTGTAGGCGAAAAAACTATTGCAGCAAAGGGACTTACGCTTGACGGACTGGTCAGCGTTTGGCAACCTGACCGCCGTTAAAGAGATGCCAGCAATTACGCATGCTGGCTCAATCCGGGGTGTAGCAGGCCGGTCTCCCGTGTCAGGGAGATTCAAAGCAGAGCTCTCTTAAGAGGGGTCTCAAGGTCAGAAGGGGCGATTCATGATCAAATCCGAACTTGTCGCCAAGCTCGCCCAAGCCAACCCGCATCTCTATCAGCGCGACGTTGAGCGGATTGTTTCCACTATTTTTGATGAAATCGGCGAAGCGCTCGCGCGCGGTGATCGGGTCGAGCTGCGCGGCTTTGGCGCCTTCTCCGTCAAAAGCCGCCCTGCACGGGTCGGAAGAAATCCACGGACTGGCCAACCCGTTGAAGTCGCAGAGAAATTTGTGCCGTTCTTCAAGACCGGCAAGGAATTGCGAGACCGGCTGAATAGCAGCGAGACAGAAACGCCTGCGGCTCCTGTCCCGAGCGAACCTGTTTCAAGCTCCGAATAGATTTCTGATTCTGATGTTTCTGGCGATTGATCTGCCTGGTCTGTTCTCTACTGCCCGAGCTTCACTATATGTTTTGTGTGACCTTCTAAACGAGGTCCCAACCTGGAGGAGATGCACATGACCGCGACACGAACCTGGACTGTTTACCTCTCCGGCGAAATCCATACGGATTGGCGCGAACAGATTGCGCAAGGGATCCAGGAGCTGAGCCTTCCGGTGAGCCTCGTCGCCCCGGTTACCGATCACGCGTCCAGCGATGATTGTGGTGTCACGATTTTGGGTGAAGAAGAACAGAGCTTCTGGAAAGACAATAAGGGCGCAAAAGTGAATGCCATCCGCACCCGTGCCCTGATCGAAGATGCCGACATTGTGGTTGTCCGCTTTGGCGACAAATACAAGCAGTGGAATGCTGCCTTTGACGCGGGCTATGCCGCCGCGCTTGGCAAATCCATCATCACATTGCACGACCCAAGCCTGACGCACCCGCTGAAGGAAGTAGACGGCGCTGCGATGGCTGTGGCTGAAGAGCCATCGCAAGTGGTGCAGATCCTCGACTATGTCATCAGCGGGCGCTTACCGTCCTCACAGCGCGCTCAGGCAGCCGAGTAACAGGACGGGCATATGCGGATCCTTCGGTGGCTGCTTCTCATTCCGATAGCGGGAATTTCGCTCTATCTGGCGCTCGCCAATCGCCATGATGTGCTCTTTAGCCTGGACCCGTTCACACCAGAAACGCCTGCGCTGGCGCTTCAGCTTCCGCTGATATTGGTGATCTTTTTGAGCGTTTTGGTGGGATTGCTTTTGGGCGGCGCGTCCGCCTGGGCACGGCAGGGCAAATGGCGCAAGGAAGCCCGCCAGGGGCGGCGCGATGTGAAACGGCTGTCTGACGAAATAGTCGAATCCTCTGAAAACCTGCCGCTTCCAACGACGGCGCCCGATCGGACAATCTGAAGGTCTGCGTCTCTTTGTCTGACATTTGGTGCTCGCTCGACAATGCTCTATAACGGCGAAAATGGAGCATGCGATGACCGGCCCCCTCTCAAAAAACCCTGTATTCTGCGCGTTAGACACAACATCAGTCACTCAGGCTGTGACGCTCGCCCAATCCCTAATCGGCAAAGTGGGAGGCCTCAAAGTCGGCATGGAGTTTTTCTATGCCAATGGTCCGACCGGGTACCAAGCCGTCGCTGAGACCGGCATCCCGATCTTTCTCGATCTGAAGCTTCACGACATCCCAAACACCGTCGCAGGTGGTATTCGAGCAATCACCCCTCTCAAGCCAGCCATCCTGACCATACATACGGCAGGCGGCATAGAAATGATGAAGGCGGCAAAACAGGCTTCAATGGAAGCGGCAGGCCCCTCACCACTCGTTGTGGGTGTCACCGTCCTAACCAGCCTGGATGAGAGCGACCTCAAGATGGCAGGTGTCGATGATACTGCGGCAGACCAGGTTCGGAGACTGGCAGGCAACGCTCAGGAAGCCGGCCTAGACGGCGTGGTTTGCAGCCCATTGGAAGTTGACCTCCTCAGGGCCGACTGTGGTCCAGACTTCAAGCTTATCGTGCCGGGCATTCGTCCAAGTGGTGCTGCCATTGGTGACCAAAAGCGGGTCATGGGCCCTGAGGAAGCCCTCGCCAAAGGTGCAGACGTCCTGGTCATCGGACGCCCCATTACGCAGGCCAATCATCCAGCGAACGCAGCTGATGCCATTCAGGCGGAAATTGCCGCCTCCACATCATGACCAGCCCTACCGCCGTCAAAATATGCGGGCTCTCGACGCCTGAATTGGTTCACGTCGCGGTCGACGCGGGTGCCACCCATGTGGGCTTTATGTTTTACGCGCGCAGTCCCCGGAACGTGACGGTTGCCCAAGCCGCAGAATTGCGAGCGCTCCTGCCGGAAACTGTCCAGCCGGTCGCCATTATGGTGAACCCAGACGACGCGCTAGTGGATGAGATCACCCAAACTGTGAAACCGGACCTTTTGCAGCTTCACGGGAGCGAGACCCCGGAACGGGTTGCAGCCGTCAAAGCCCGTACCGGTCTTCCGGTCATGAAAGTCATTTCGGTCGCCGACGCGGCTGACGTGGCGGCAGCCAATATTTACGAAAAAGTGGCTGATTTGTTGCTGTTTGATGCCAAACCACCTAAATCTATGGCGAATGCGCTGCCCGGTGGTAACGCGGTCTCGTTCGACTGGTCGTTGATTGCGGACGCAGAACCACAGCTTCCCTGGATGCTGTCCGGCGGGCTCACACCTGACAATGTGGCCGACGCACTTGCCCAGACTGGGGCGCGCATGGTGGATGTATCGTCCGGCGTCGAAGACGCGCCGGGCCGGAAGAATGAAGCGCTGATCCGCGCATTTGTGAAAGCAGCGCAGAGTGCCTGAACGCACCTGCAGCTGAACGAGGTGACTGGTGCCAGAACGCCAACAGGAACTTAACTCCTATCGGACGGGGCCCGACGAGAATGGCCATTTCGGAATTTTCGGCGGACGCTTTGTTGCCGAAACTTTGATGCCGCTCATTCTCGACCTGGAACAGAACTACAAATCTGCGCAGCAAGACCCCGCCTTCTATGCAGAGCTTGATGATCTGGCCAAGCACTATACCGGCCGTCCAAGCCCGCTCTATTTTGCAGAGCGGCTTACCGAACATTGCGGCGGCGCGAAAATCTATTTCAAACGCGATGAGCTGAACCATACGGGCAGCCACAAGATCAATAACTGTCTGGGACAAATCCAGCTCGCCCGCCGCATGGGCAAAACCCGTATCATTGCCGAGACGGGCGCAGGTCAACATGGGGTCGCGACCGCAACGGTTGCCGCGCGCTTCGGTCTGCCCTGTGTTGTCTATATGGGTGCCAAAGACATTGAACGTCAGGCACCCAACGTGTTCCGCATGAAGCTGCTGGGTGCGGAAGTTGTCCCGGTGACATCAGGCGCTGGCACGCTCAAAGATGCCATGAATGAAGCGCTGCGCGACTGGGTCACCAATGTTGACGAGACCTTCTACATTATCGGCACCGCTGCTGGGCCTCATCCCTATCCACAATTGGTCCGTGATTTTCAATCTGTGATTGGGCGCGAGACCAAAGAACAGATGCAGGAGCGCGAAGGGCGTTTGCCCGATAGTCTGGTTGCCTGTATTGGCGGCGGCTCCAATGCGATCGGCCTCTTCCATCCCTTCCTTGACGATAAGAGTGTCGACATAATCGGTGTTGAAGCCGGTGGTCACGGCCTCGAAACAGGCGAGCATTCAGCGTCTCTTGCCGGTGGGGCACCGGGTGTTTTGCACGGTAACCGGACGTACCTGCTACAGGATGATGATGGGCAGATCGAAGAAGGTCATTCGATCTCTGCGGGCCTCGACTATCCAGGCATCGGGCCGGAACATGCGTGGCTTAAAGAAACAGGACGCGTTCAATATGTGAACGCAACGGACAAACAGGCGCTCGACGCCTTCCAGCTCTGCACAAAACTTGAAGGCATCATTCCCGCACTTGAGCCCTCCCATGCGCTCGCCTATGTGCTGAAAATTGCGCCGGATCTTCCTAGCGATCATTTGATGGTGATGAATATGTGCGGTCGTGGGGACAAAGACGTCTTCTCCGTCGCAGAGCATCTCGGGGTGAAACTCACATGACCACCCGCATCGACACACGTTTCGCAGAGCTCAAACAAGAAGGCCGGGCTGCCTTCGTCGCTTTCGTCACAGCAGGTGACCCGGACTTTGAGACATCGCTCAGCATCCTCAAAGGTCTTCCCGGTACGGGAACTGATATCATAGAGATAGGCATGCCCTTCACCGATCCGATGGCGGAGGGCCCGCCCATCCAGGCCTCTTACCTGCGCGCGCTTGAGGCGGGCCAGACGATGCACAAAACGCTCGACCTGGTACGCCAGTTCCGTGCGGGGGACGACACGACACCGATCGTTTTGATGGGCTACTACAACCCGGTTTATCATTACGGGGTGGAGAAGTTCCTGTCGGACGCCAAGACGGCGGGTGTAGACGGCTTCATCGTCGTAGACCTGCCTGCAGAAGAAGACGAAGAAATGTGCCTGCCTGCACTTGAAGCTGGTCTCAATTTCATCCGTCTCGCGACACCGACCACAGATGAACACCGGCTTCCCGCTGTCCTTAAGAATACCAGTGGCTTTGTTTACTACGTGTCGGTCAAAGGTATTACTGGCGCGGCAGCAGCAAATACAACGGATGTGTCTGCTGCGGTTGCCCGGATCAAAGCAGAAACTGATCTGCCGGTGGCGGTTGGGTTCGGTATCAAAACGCCGCAAAATGTTGCCGCAATTGCCGCCCATGCTGATGGCGCTGTCGTTGGCTCTGCCATCGTCGATTGCGTTAAGGACAATTTGGATGAGGCCGGGCGTCCCACTGCGGAGCTTGTGCCACATGTGTTAGAATTTGTGAAATCGCTGGCTGATGGTGTTCGAAGCACCCACTAGGTACCAGCAGCTGACTGACAGGCCGCGTCTTGCTTTGGCGCGCCGCCATAGGAGAAGCCCATGAACTGGATTAACAGTGTTGTTCGACCAAAGATCCAGAACGTTTTTAAGAAGCGCGACACACCAGACAATCTCTGGCGGAAGTGTGGGTCCTGTGGCGAGATGGTGTTTCATCGTGACCTGGTTGCCGCGTTCAATGTCTGTCCCAATTGCGATCATCACATCAAGCTGCCGAGCGATGAGCGTCTCAAACTTCTTTTCGATCGTGGAGAGTATGAAACGATCTCCGTGCCGTCTGTGCCGTCAGATCCACTCAAGTTTCGGGACCAGAAGAAATATACAGACCGCCTAAAAGATGCGCGCTCCAAGACCGGCAAAGAAGATGCTGTGACCGGTGCCGTCGGTCGCCTTGATGGCAGCGAAGTTGTTGTTGCCGTGCAGGACTTTGCCTTCATGGGCGGATCGCTTGGTATGGGCGCAGGCGAAGCGATTGTTAAATCCATTGAAGTCGCGCTCGACAAAAAATGTGCCTTCATCATGGTTGCCGCCTCTGGCGGCGCACGCATGCAGGAAGGCATTCTGTCGCTCATGCAAATGTCGCGGGTCACTGTTGGCGTGCAACGTCTGCGTGATGCGGGCTTGCCCTTCCTTGTTGTTCTCACCGACCCAACCACAGGTGGCGTGATGGCGTCTTATGCCATGCTCGGCGATGTGCACATTGCCGAACCCAAGGCACTTTTGGGCTTCTCTGGTCCACGGGTTATCGAGCAAACAATTCGTGAGAAACTGCCTGAAGGATTTCAGCGCGCGGAATATCTGCTTGAACATGGCATGGTCGACATGGTGGTCCACCGTCACAAGCTGAAAGAAACGCTGGGACGTCTTGTTCGCCTGATGATGCATCAGCCAAAGGCACCACAGTCCGACTATCAGCTGCCTGCGGCCCCCACAGCGCCCCAAGCTGCTGGATAATGACACTCCCATGAGCGACAACAGCTCCTCTCTCAAGAGTGATACACTGCTTGAGAGGCTGATGGGCCTTCACCCAAAACTGATTGACCTGACGCTAGAGCGGACAGAACGGTTACTTGCCGCACTGGGGCATCCTGAAAAAAAGCTGCCGCCCATTTTTCATATTGCAGGCACGAATGGGAAGGGCTCGACATCGGCCTTTCTGCAATCCATGCTTGAAGCGGCTGGTCTTACGGTCCACCGATATTCTTCGCCCCATCTTGTGAATTTCCACGAACGCATTGTGCTTGGCGGCAAAAGCATCCCGGAAGACGCGCTCGCCGACATTCTTGAGGAATGCGAACGGGTGAATGATGGTGCGAACATCACCTATTTCGAGATCACCACAGTTGCCGCCCTGCTTGCCTTTTCCCGCGCCCCCGCCGACGCCCTTCTTCTGGAAGTCGGCCTGGGCGGACGCTATGACGCGACCAACGTGTTTGAGAAACCGGCAATCACCCTCATCACCCATATTGGCTATGACCATCAGCATTTCCTGGGCGAAACGCTGAACGAAATTGCAGGTGAGAAGGCCGGTATTTTGAAGCGGGACGTGCCCGCCATCATCGCGCCGCAGGCGGATGAGGTATTTGACCGTATCGAACGGGAAGCGGCGCTCGTCAGCGCGCCGCTCTTTGTGGGTGGGCAGGACTGGACGGCCTATGAAGAACAGGGCCGTCTTGTCTACCAGGACACAGATGGCCTTTTGGACCTTCCTCTTCCCGGCCTTGTTGGCGCGCACCAGATCGAAAATGCCAGCATGGCCATCGCGGCGCTTCGGCAGGCGCCGGGCTTCTCCATTGACGATGAAGCCATTGCGCTGGGGCTGGCGTCCGTCTCCTGGCCTGCCCGCATGCAACGGTTGAAACAGGGCCCGCTGGTTACGGCAGCCGGGGAAGGTGCCGAAGTCTGGCTTGATGGCTGTCACAATCCATCGGGCGGTCGCGTTGCTGCCGCCACGATGGCGGATCTCGATGACAAGCTGCCACGCTCGCTCTATCTCATCTGCGCCATGCAGAATACGAAGGACGCCAGCGCCTTCTTTGCAAATTTCGGTGGGCTGGCGCGTCAGGTCTTCACTGTCACGGCGCCCGGCGCAGATGCAGCCATCCCTGCGGCCGAGCTGGCCGATATGGCGAAAGCAGGCGGGCTAGAAGCACAGCCGATGGAGAGCCTTGAGGCTGCCGTCGGTCGCGCGGTGGGACATGCAGATGCAGAGACCGGTGAGCCACCGCGCATTCTCATTTGCGGCACGCTTTACCTCGCGGGGCACGTCCTAAGGGATCACTCCTGACGAGCACCGCCTCCCTGCCTGAATACAGGATTTGTCTCATACCCAGGCAAGGTCATAGACTTTCCGTTCCTGATAAGGAGGAGACCCGACATGATTGAACCCTATGAGACCGCTGTTGAGGATGCCCTTTTGACGCTCCGCGCTGCCAGAAGATCCCTGGTCAATGAGATTTCCGCCTATCCACGACCGATTTCAGGCTGCGACGCTCAGTTCAACCACTTGCTCAGTGATCGCACACGCATTTCAGACGCAATCAATGCCCTGCAGAGCCAGCCGTTCGTGCCCACACCGCGTGTAATGGAACCCGGTGCGGCCTCCGAAAGCAGATAAAAAAACCGGCCCCCATTTGAAGGAGCCGGTTTCAATTCTCAGAAAGACATTCAAGCGGAATTTGTTCATTTTCGCGTTTTCGAACGGAAAACCCGAAGCTCACTTTTCCTGAAAACGCTTTTAAATCTCGCTTTCGATCCACTCTTTGATCTTGCCCTTTGGCAGTGCGCCAACCTTGGTCGCTGCAACCTGACCATCTTTGAAGATCATCAGCGTTGGGATGCCGCGCACGCCATATTTTGTAGGCACGTTCGGGTTCTCATCAATGTTGAGCTTCGCAATGGTGAGCTTGTCGCCAAGGTCGCCTGCGATCTCTTCAAGAGCCGGGCTGATCTGCTTACACGGACCGCACCACTCTGCCCAGAAGTCCACTAGTACAGGCTGGCTGGCATCGATCACATCAGCTTCGAAGCTGTCATCTGTTACTTTTGATGTGGCCATGAGTTGCGCCTTTCGTTTTATCCCGACTTATGCGCCGGTTGATGATGGTTGGGCCCGAAGGAGAATCTCTGAGCCCCGAAATATCGTTGGGAGGAATCTAGGTAGCCCCTCCTGCAGGGTCAAGGCATGGTCACGTGGCCGTGACACTAAAGCGCTTTTGCCAGCATTTCTGCGGGTATTTCCATGAGATTTGGACCATCTGTCCATAGAAGCGCCGCCCGAATCGGGCGATTTGGATAAAGCTTGCCCAAGAGGGCAGCATATCCTGCCATTTGAGCGATATAGGCAGGGCTCGCGTCTTCCACACGGGCAGGCGGCGGACGGTTTGTTTTATAGTCGATGATGAGAACCTCTTCTTCGCTCACAAGAAGACGGTCGATCTGTCCGCTCAAGAAGAGACGATCGCCGTCCCGCTCAATCTCACCAACAAGCGCCACTTCCGCCCGACTGTCGGGCCCAAAGAGCGGCGCGAATGCCGGAACCGCCAAGACAGTGTGAACAGCGTCTGCAATCTCTGCTTGTTCGTCTTCGGACAGGGTGAGGCCATCACTTGCCAGAAATTGTTGTGCCGCTGCCTCGCGCTTGTCCTCAGCCAGGTCCGGGAGAGTTTCCAAAAGACGATGAATGAGGCGCCCGCGCTTAAACCTGTCGGCACCCCCTGTGCTGAGCGGTGAGGCAATCGTGGGCTCGTAGACATCTTCCACCAGCTTGGACGGCGCTAAAGGTCTTGCGGGAACTGGTTCCGGCGGCGGGAGTTGAGACGCCCAAGAGGGCAGGTCAGAGATTGATTTGGGGCTCGCTGTTGCCTCAGCTGGTTTGACGTCCCGCTTCTGATCGCCCTCCATGCGCTGGACCGGCTCCCCATCCCACGCGGTTATTTCTTGCATCTCTCCAGCCAGACCGCGCTCCATCAGTTTGTACCAGCAGTCAGGGCTCGGCTCCCGGTTTCCCTCATAGCCGCTGATGTAAAGGCGGTCTTTGGCCCGCGTCATCGCAACATAGAGAAGACGGCGATATTCATTCATCGCCTCAACGCGCAAACGGTCTCTCGCTCTCCCCGCCACCGGGTCGTCATTCGCTTTCCTGCCTGGAAAGAGCAACAGACCGGCACCATCACCGTCGGCAGCTATGAGTTTTGGATCGTGCTGCCCCCCCGGCACCGAGCAGGTGTCCGGCAAAAAGACAATGGGCGCTTCCAATCCTTTGGCGCCGTGAACGGTCATGATCCGAACTTCGTCACGCCCTTCCGCCATTTCGCGTTTTACTTCAGCTTCGCCTGCATCAACCCAATGGAGGAAGCTTTGCAGCGACGGGGTGTGCGTGCGTTCATATCCCAGCGCCAGGGATAAAAACTCATCAACAGGATCATCAACGTCTGCCCCCAGCCGTGCCCTCAGATTGCGGCGCCCGTTATCGGCAACAAGCATGTGCGCGAAGAACTCATAGGGTCGCATCTTGTCCGCTCGTTCCCGCCAGGACGATAAGAGCCTATGAGCCTCCTGATAGGAGGCCCGTTCGCTCTTGCGGGCAGTCAGCGCCTGCCAAAGAGAGCCGTTACGATCATGGGCCAAATCAAACAGAGCACCTTCATCCAGGCCAATGAGGGGACTTTTCAAAACAGTCGCCAGCGTCAGGTCATCTTCTGGCAAAAGCGCAAAGGCGGCGGCGGCCATGAGATCCATTACCGCAATCTGATCGGTGAGTACCATTCGGTCAGTGCCGGCGACTGGTACGCCCCGTCGTTTCAAGGCCCGGATGATTTCTTCAACAAAGATGTTACGTCGACGCACAAGGATGAGAACGTCCCTTGCTTCAATCGGACGGCCCTCCCCTTTCAGGCTTTCATTTGTGGCGAGCCAATGCGCGACTGTGGAGGCGATCCTGTCCGCCAGTCGCGCCTCAGGGCTTTCTGACTTTGGATAATCTAGCGGCGCGTCCCATGGCAGGGCCTCTTCTTCCTCATCGGGCACACAAGTCGGCCAGATCTCGACAAGCCCGGCATCAAGGTCGCGGAAGGGATAGTGCGTTGGCGGCTCTGCGTCTGCGTTAAGACCGGTGGCGGTTTCTTCTGTCGCAAACACCTGATCGACCGCGCTCAAAACTTCGCGGGTGGAGCGAAAAGACAGAAGCAGGTCCACCGGGTTCCATGTTTTGCCGGCACCCTCTACCTTTGCCGCAAAGTGGGTTTTCATCTCCGCGAACTTTGCCGGGTCCGCCCCCTGGAAAGAAAAGATGGATTGTTTTTCATCGCCCACTGCGAAGATGGTTCGGGTCAACTCGCGCGCGCCCTCGCCGGACAGGAACTCTTCGGCCAGGGCCTGTATCACTTCCCATTGATGCGGACTCGTGTCTTGGGCTTCATCCACAAGGATGTGGTCAAGGCCACCATCGAGCTTATAGAGCACCCAGGCGGCAGCTGAGGACAGGTTCAGCAAGTCTCGGCTTTTCAGAATAAGGTCTTCATAGTCGAGCACAGCCCATTGCTGCTTGAGTCTCTCAAAACGTTCGAGCAGGGCTGCTGCCAGCACATAGAGTGCGTGGGTTGAGGCTACGATGCGGGCCGCGCGGCGTTTCTCTTCCAGTTCGACAATGCGGGCCTGTTCCCGTTCCAGAAGATCCAGGAGATGCGGGTGTGCTTCGTGCACCTTCTTGGTGATGATGCTGGGTGTCAGTTTCTTTGGGTCGCCGTCCTGCTTGAGAAATGCTGTCTTATAGACGTCCAGCACCTCCACATCCGCCGGTGCATTGAGAAAGTCCGCAATAGCGGTCGCCGTTTTGACGTCCGTCTTGTTTCCACCAGCCAGGAGAGGGTGAGCCTCTTTAAGCTCAGAAAGAGGGGTTGCTTCTGCGGCGGCGGCAATCAGCGAGTTTTCTGTATCCCCTGGCGCCACCTGCAATAGACCGGCAACCCGTTCCAGAATACCAGCCACACCTCCGGCGCTCGCAATCTGTTCGGTCAGGCGGGCGCGCTTGCCTACAATCTCGCGAAAGAGATCGTCAAACCCATATTCGCCAACCAACGAAGAGACGGTCTCAAACGCTTGTGCCACATCGCCTTGTGTGCCTGTCTGTTCCTCCTCGCCAATCTCGGAGAGAATTTCATCCCGCGCTTCCGCCATCAGTTCCGTTGCGGTGCGCTCATCCAGAATTTCAAAATGCGGTGGCACACCGGCTTCCAATGGAAAGCGGCCCAGCAGGCGCTCGCAAAAAGCATGAATGGTCTGGATTTTGAGACCACCTGGTGTCTCAATCGCCCTGGCAAACAAAAGCCGTGCACTCAGGAGCTTTGTCGCATCAGGCGGCGTGCCCTCAAGTTCCTCCAGTTTCTCCGCAAGCGCTGCTTCGTCCATGACGGCCCATTCACCCAAGCGATCATAGAGACGGCTTGCCATCTCTGAGGCTGCCGCCTTGGTGAAGGTCAGGCAGAGAATGCGCTCCGGCTCCGTGCCCGACAGGAGCAGCCGGATCACTCGGTTGATGAGGACATGGGTTTTTCCTGAGCCTGCATTGGCCGACACCCAGACAGATGCAGTCGGGTCGGCGGCAGCTGCCTGCCGTCTTGTGGTGTCATTGACCGTCAATGCGCCGGTTTCCGCCATCAGACGTCACCCCCGCCCTGTGCCGCCGTCCACTCGCGGACGCGGGCCAGGTGATCATAATCTCCCCAAAGCGCCTGAAACTGAACACGCGGGCGCGACAGGAAGGGTGTGCCCTCGCTTTCATAGCGCTGCAAGAGGGCGACAAGTCCCTCCAACACGCCCGCCGCATCCGCGCTGCCATCCTGCGACACCTTTTTCTCCGCCGCACCCGGGTCACCCCCAGACAAGCGGAGATAGGACAAGACCGACACGGGCCGTGCGGCGAGCGGCGTTCCACTGTCAGCGATGAAACCACCGGCGGCTGCAATGGCTGCTTCCAATGGTAATTGCGGGCTTAAGCCTGCTTCCACCTGTTTCTTTGAAGGTGGCGCGCCGGTTTTGTAGTCATAGATGGCAAAGGATCCATCCGCACGTTCATCAACCCGGTCAGCGCGCGCAGACAGTGTCATCGGTCGATCGAATCCCGGAAGGGCCAGCTCGCCCTTGATCTCAGCATGGGTTCGTGTGAGCCCGGTGCGCAGGTCGCTTTCCCAAATCGACATCCAGCGGGCCACCGCTTCATATCGCGGCCACCAAAAGGCTGTCACACCTGGACGGTTTGGTGCCGTTTCGAAGGCCAGCCTGCCCATCTCCAGAAAGGCCGTTTCGACATTACCGGGCAAAGTATCGGGGAATTTCCGGGCGAAGTTTTCCAGCGCCTGGTGGAGCAGAGTGCCGCGCTCCAACGCACCTGCATCTGCATCCAGCGGATCGAGCGGTTTAAGACGCAAAACCTTCTTGGCATAGATCGCATAGGGGTCGCGGATCAGTGTTTCTACTTCAGTCGCAGAATATCTGTTTGGCCTTGCTGCCAGAGGAGGTTTCGGCTGAGGCGCGGCGCAGGGGACCACAGACTTTGGCTCATCCAGCTTCTCTGCAATATTCAGATAGCTTGTATCGGGTGTCAGTCCGTCTTTCAGACCCGCACCTTTTAGCAGGCTATCAATCCGCAACAGCCAGCGCGAGGCGACCGTCGGTGCTCCCTCTACCTTCAAAGACCGGGTGATGATTACGTCCGCGCCACAGGCCGCCTGCACAAAATCATGAGCGGATAGACCAATGCGCCGTTCCGGCGGCTCCAACCCCAAGTCTTCGCGCATGGGCCTGCTGAGCCAGGCATCAATGGGCGCCGCTGTCGGCCAGCTCTCTTCGTTCAATCCGCCGAGGACCACCCTGTCGGCACTCAAAAGACGGGCTTCAAGCGGGCCCAGTATCGACAATCTGGGATGTTGACCAAATCGGGGTCTCACCATCTGCCCGGCGCTGAGTGTTTCGAGCAGGCGTAAATAGGCAAGTGGCTCCATAGCGGTCAGGCTGTCGGCCGACGCGAGCAGCGTCTCCATAAAGAGCGCTGTTGCTTCGCCTGCATCGCCTCGATAGAGCCGTTCGGCTCTGGTGGTGTCATCGCTTACCGCTAAAGCCTCCGCCGCCCGCAAATGAGCGTCAACTAAATCCCTCAAAGGCAGTTCGTGGAGATCGTAACACTCAAGGAAGGGGCTAACGGCCTCATCCAAGCGGTTGATGAGATCAACCAACCGATCTTTCTTGTCTTGCTCCAATTCTGTCTGCGTCAACACATGCCGAAGACCCGCTATGTCCGGGCCAGGCCGCGGACCGCGTAAGAGCGCGCGCTCAAGCTCTCGCGTTCTCTGACCACATTCCGCAGGGTTCAACCCCAAAGCAGTCAGTGGGTGTTTCAACACATCCAACAAAGAGACGGGTGCGAGGCCTTCCGACGCGGTGACGGCGAGAAGCCGCAGGAAACCGAAAGGCGCTGTCCCGGTGAGCGGTGTGCCTGCACTATCATCAATGGGAATATCCCAACGTCCAAGCTCTTGCGCCACACGTCGGGCCAAAGACCGGTCAGGGGTTACCAAAATGCCGGTGCGCTCAGGCACCTCCAGAGTTTCGCGTAATGCACAGGCTATTGCCGCTGCTTCCTCTCGCGGGGTAGGTGCCTCAATCAATGTGAGACCTGTTGTAGCGGCGGCTTGATCGAATGCGCGCGCGTCTCTCCCGCTCCAGGCATCTGTGGTTTCTGCCGGACGTAGCGCGTCTGACAAAAAGGAAGCGCGGTCCTTTGCGACAGTTGAGGGTTTCGCATGCGGCCATGTCTGCACCTGCTCTCTGCCCACTCCGATGCTCGCCAGCAATTGCTTCATGCCATATTGCGGATGAGACGGCCCCACAGCCTGCCAGCCGCGCGCATCAAGTGCCTGATCAAGACCGGGAAGAATCACGGCTCCCTTCGGCAGAAGAGCAACTGTATTCAAGAGATCAGCCGTCGCAGGAATGGAGCCCGTTGACCCTGCCGCGATGACCGGGTGCGCTGGCGGATTTGATGCCCAGGCCTCTGTTTCAGCACGGATTGCCAGGTTGCGTCGTTTCGCAGGATCGATAAGCCCCCGCTCGGTCAGTTCCTGCGGCCAGTAGTCGAGGGCTATCTCCAAAAAGGAAAGCGTGTGTTGCCAATGCTCGGCGAAACGGTCTGGCACCAGATCCCGCACCTTTGACAGATCAACACCCTCGGTCTCCGCGCTATCAATCAGGTGAGCGAGCTCTGCCGCAAGCGAGGTCGCCTGCCCGGCGTTTTTTGGCCCGAAGGGACTTCCCCTTCCCCAGGCGAGAATCAGTCTGGCCAGTCGCAACTGCCGGTCCATGCCATCAATCGCTGGCGGCAGATCAAGGCTCCCTAGAACAGCTTCCGCCGGGTCAGCGGTCAGCAACAGTTCTTCTTCGTCCACATCACCTAGGGGACGTATATGCGGCAGCAGAATAGCTTTGCCATCACCGGCACGAAGAAAAGCTTCCGTCAGAGAGCGTACCGCCCGGCGCGTCGGGAGCAGGATGGTGAGGTCAGCCAGCGCTTCAGGCTTGTCAGAAAGCGCTCCTTGCAATCCAGGGTCTGCCACAAGCGCCCTTGCCAGGGCATCCAGAAAAGGAACGCCCGGTGGAATGGTGAACAGCGTTGGCAAAGAATCGTGGGCCATGACCTCAGTCTATCCGGGTGAGGCTACAACGTATTGCGTTTAATCGGAGCCACAAGACGGCGCTCAGATCACGCATTTTTTGGCACTTTGATGAATTACGCAAACGCAAAGCGCTCTACAGATCGCGCAGGAACCGTTCTGCGTCAGCAAGATCGCCCGGCGTCCCTACATGCATCCAGGTTGCCTCCATGCGCAGGCCAAAAAGACGGCCTCGCTCGATGGCCTTGTCCCAAATGAGATTTGTGGAGAAGGGTCCGTCCGGCCCTTCATCAAACAGTGTCGGATTGACGATCTGGACGCCGGCAAACATGAAGGGCGCGACGGTCTGTTCCTCCCGGCGGACCAGACGCCCATCAGGCTCCATAGTGAAGTCGCCCCGGCGTACTTCACCAATCGTGTTGGTGGCGCTGGCAATCATCAAAAGCGCGTCCATATGCTCCGGATCCCAAGCTTCCATCATGCGCGTGAGGGTCGGACGACGGCCTTCAATCCACACACTGTCGGAGTTGAACGTCATTATGGGGTCATCGCCCAATAAGGATCGGGCTTTCTTGACGCCGCCGCCGGTGTCGAGAAGTTCTTCGCGCTCATCTGAAATCACGATCTTCGGAGCCGAGAGCCTCTTCAAATGGGCTTCAAGAAGATCTGCATGGGCATGCACGTTGACAACGACCTCGTCTACGCCTGCCGCGCCCAAGCGTGCCAGCGCGTGGTCGATGAGAGGTTTCCCCATAAAGCGAACCAATGGCTTTGGCTTGTCATCGGTGAGAGGCGCCATGCGTGTGCCGTGCCCGGCGCCCATGATCATCGCGCGTTTAATCTGGGTCACGCTGGCGTCTCGGCGATCTGCCCTGCGGCGGGCGCATCTTTCAAAAAGTGATTTTCCACAAAGCTGGCCAGATCGGAAAGGGCGGGATGCGCCAGGTTGCGCCTCAAATAATCCTGCGTGCGGGCCATGTGACCCATGTAATGGGGCTTATTGTCTCGCTTCAAAAGCCGTGGCCACAGTCCCATGAGGCGAAGGGCGCGCTCCGCCCCCAGAACGGCGTAAGCGGCTTCAAACTCATCAGCGTCAAACCGAGCATCGGCATTCTTCATCGCCTGAACATAATAGCCGCGCATCACCTCTTCACGCTCCACGGGCACGTCCCGGCGTGCATCCTGCAGAAAGGAGACCGGGTCATACGCAAGTGAGCCGATCAGTGCATCCTGATAGTCAATCAAACCAACACGCTCCAAGCCGCGCCCCTTCGATTGCCAGAGAATATTGGGTGAATGAAAATCCCGCAGAAAGAGTGTGCGGGGGCCTGCTTCAATCAGCGGCCAAAGTGCTGTCCAGATCGCGTCATACTCAGCCCGCAGGTCGTCGCTCGCCTGCGTGCCCATTACCACGGGTAAATACCAATCAAGTGGCATGGCGGTTTCGATGCGGTAAATACCGTCATCAAATGAAGGCACATCATGGGTGCTTCCATCGCCAACCGACAATAGCCCCGGCGTTCCTGCCTGCTGCAACGCCACGAGGACGTCCAGCCCCGCGCGATACATATCATCCAGCACTTCGCCTGCAGGGCCTTTACCTTTGTCGATCACGCCACCGAAGTCAGCTGTGCCGAAATCTTCGAGCAGCAGGAAGCCATGTTCTAGGTCACTGGAAATGATATCGGGCGCGCGCAGTCCGAGGCTTTTGAGGTAAGAGCCGACAGCCACGAAGGGGCGTACATCTTCGGCCAGGTGCGCAAGCTTGGAATAGGCGGCATGGGTGCCTTCTGACGGTGCATCGGGACCAGCTGGCCAGTCCATGAGAACGCCGTTGGCGCCGTTCAGTGCCAGGCGCTCGTAGCGACGCAGCGACGCATCTCCCTGCAGGAAGCTTCGTGTTGCGGTGCCCCATCCTGCACGCTCCAGGAAGGCCACCAAAAGTTCTTCTCGTTCGCTCACGCTCGCCCTCTTGTTCGGCTTTTCTTGCAGGCCGCTCTGATCTCACGCGTCATTTTGCATCATCATCGCTTGCGCGCGGTTAATGCGGTCTTCCCATGCGGCCCCACGCCCCGTCAAGCATGCGACGCGCCCATCGCCGACCTCTTTCAGCTCAATGTCCAGCCTTTCGGCCGGGAGCTCATCCGCCATGCGGTCCGGCCATTCAATGAGCAGAAGGCCGCCCTCAAGCGCTTCTTCCAATCCAAGCTCGATCAGTTCATCAGGATCAGATAGACGGTAAAGGTCTGCATGCCATATGGGCAGAGAGCCCGCCTCATAGGTTTGTACGAGCGTGAAGGTCGGGCTTGGCACATCCTCGCGCAGGCCTGATGCAGCAAGGAGCGTTTGGATGATCGCGCGCGCGAGACTTGTTTTGCCAGCCCCCAGATCCCCCCAGAGTGCAATAACATCACGCTGGGCGATCATGTCCGCTAGCGTTTTGCCGAGCCTGTCCGTCGCCAGGGGGTCAACCAAGGCAATTTCGCATGCGCTATCGTTTTGCGCGGTGGGCGGCGGTGTGATCCTACTCATAGGCGTCCTTGTACGCGTTCAATGCATCTGTCTTCAAGGGGCACAGATAACCTGAGCCATGGCTATCTTTTGGGTATTTTCGGCGGAATCCTTGCGTCCCTTCGCCTCATCGCGCACATTTCTCTTGAACTGAACCGGCTGTGGCGGCACATTCAGATCAACAAAAATGACGCATGCGTCATTTTTATAAGAAGAGTGGTTCAGAGGAAACTGGGAGGAGCATTCACCATGTCAGATGGGGTGATCATTGTCGGAGCCGGACATGCCGCCGGCCAAGCAGTCGCCAGCCTGCGATCAGAGGGCTATGAAGGCCCGGTCACAGTGATCGGCGACGAGCCCTATGTTCCCTATCAGCGCCCGCCTCTGTCCAAGAAATTCCTGGCCGGTGAAATCGACATTGACCGGGTTTATTTCAAGCCGCCGGATTTTTATGAGAAGTCCAACGCTGAGATGGTCCTCGGGCGAAAGGTCGTCGAAATCGAACGCCCGAAAAAGATTGTGCATCTAGATGATGGAAGCACGCGGGGGTACGACAAGCTCATTCTGGCGACCGGTAGCCGTGTTCGCGAGCTCAACATTCCAGGCTTTGACCTAGAAGGCGTGTTTTATCTTCGCACAATCGAAGATGTCGAAGCGATCCAGAGCAAGTTCAATGAAGGCGGGAAGATGGTCGTCGTAGGTGGCGGCTATATCGGCCTGGAAGTTGCTGCTGTTGCCGCGCAGCGCGGGATTGACGTGACGGTACTTGAAATGGCGCCGCGGGTTCTTGCCCGCGTGGTCGATCCCATCCTCTCCAAGTTTTATACGAAGGCCCACACAGAAGCCGGTGTCAAAATCGAAACAGGAGTGACTGTTTCCGGATTTGAAGGATCAAACGGCAAGATCGAGAAGATCGACTGCGGCGACGGTAAAACCTTTGACGCTGATTTTGCCATCGTTGGGGTTGGAATCATTCCCAATGTGGAGCTCGCCGACGAAGCAGGCCTGAAAGTCGAAAACGGTATTGCCGTTGATGAATTGTGTCGAACGGAAGATCCGGATATTTATGCGATTGGGGATTGCACCAACCATCCCAATCCTATTCTCGGCACCCGGTTGCGTCTTGAGTCCGTGCACAATGCCCTTGAACAGGGAAAGACTGCGGCGGCGTCCATTTGCGGCAAGGAAAAACCATACGCGCAAGTACCGTGGTTCTGGTCAGATCAATATGATCTGAAGCTGCAAATCGTCGGGCTCTCTGCTGGTTATGACGAAGTGGTGGTGCGGGGCGATCCGGAGAACGAGCGCTCCTTTGCGGTCTTCTATCTAAAAGACGGGGTGATGATTGCCTCTGATGCGGTGAACCGTGCACCGGAACATATGATGTCGCGGAGGCTTATTGCCGCGAAAGCAAAAATCCCCGCCGCAAAGCTCGCAGACGAAAGCATCAACATGAAAGACATGGCGGAGTAGCAGGCTTCACTTTTCGATCAATGAGTTTGACTGAATGACACCTTGAGCAGCATCTCTCCTGTGGCATCGTGAATGGATCTGCTTGTCTCAATGAAACCGTAACGGTCGTAGAATCGGCGGCCCGCTAAATTCTTTTCAAACACCTCAAGCCACATTGGCCCTTTCAGAGCAATGGCGTGATCCACCAATGCTCTGCCTAGACCTTTGCCATGGCAGGGTGGATCGAGAAACAGTCCGCCAATCTCATCTCCATTGAGCGTGATGAAACCAACCGGGTCTCCCTCTGTTTCAATCACCCATGTCTCAGAATGCGGCAAATATACGCGTCGGAGCATATCCGCTTCCTGCTCCACAAACGATTGATCCAGAAAAGGGTGAGCGATCCGAGTTGCAGCTCTCCAGGCGGCCTCCAGCGCCGCCGTGTCTTCTACTTTGTATTTTCTAATCATGCCCACGGCACATCATCTCCGGATCCTTCTCGACTTTGATAGCACTTACTGGGTAAGTCCATCGTGCACTAAAAAAGGGCGTCTCGATTGTACGAGAGCGCCCTTTTCTTTGTTCTGGTGTCGCCGCCTAGTCAGCAGCTGATGCCAGCCTTGGACCCGCTTTAAAGTCATGGTTCATAAGTGGCAAGGAACGCACCCGCTGACCTGTCAGCGTGAAGAGGGCGTTTGCCACGGCTGGCGCGATGCAGGGCGTGCCAGGCTCACCCAGTCCACCAAACGGTGCGTCTGACTCCATAAAGTGGATGTCAATTTCTGGCGTCTGTGCCAGACGAACCGCGTCATAGTCAGGGAAGTTCCCCTGCACGACGGCGCCATCTTCGATGGTGATATCGCCGTAAAGCGCTGCCGTCAGGCCGTAAATGACGCCACTTTCAATTTGTGCGGCAGCACCATCGGGATTGACCACGGGACCACAATCAACGGCACAGGTGACTTTGTGGACTTTTGGCTCGCCTGTATCATCGATAGACACTTCAACAATCTGAGCCACGATCGTGTCAAAGCTCTGTTGAAGGGCGACACCACGCGCATGGCCAGCCGGCAGAGGCGTGCCCCATCCTGCTGCTTCACCTGCTTTTGCAAGCACTGCCTTGTGGCGCGGGTTGTCCCCGATCAGAGACATGCGGAACTCGAACGGATCCTTGCCAGCGGCATTTGCCACTTCATCCACAAAACTCTCATTGAAGAAGGAGTGCTGTGTGTGGGCGACCGACCGCCACGCGCCATATGGCACATGGACCGGACTTTCCACATAGCGGATTGATTGGTTCGCCACCGCATAAGGAATGTGGCTTGCTTCTGCAGGCTCATCCTTGCGGATATAGCGGTTCACCCAGGCTGTTGGCTCACCCTTGTCATTAAGCGTTGCGGACATATGGGCTGCGACAGCAGGACGGTAATAGTCATGCTGCACATCTTCCTCGCGCGACCAAACAAGCTTCACCGGACCGCCAACCTGCTTAGCGATTTTTGTTGCCTGGTGAACATGATTTGAGGCTGATGGACCGCGACGTCCAAAGCCGCCACCCAGCATGAAATTATTCACATGCACATTCTCTGGCGCAACACCTGCTACTTCTGCGACAACGTTGCGGGTTGAAAGACCGTCCTGGGTACCGACCCAAACTTCTACCTTGTCATCTTTAAATTCGATGGTGCAGTTCATCGGCTCCATGCAGGTATGCGCAAGGAAGGGAACTTCATAGCGAGCCTCAATGAGATCGCTGCCTTCAGCCATCGCCGCAACCGCGTCGCCAATCTCGACATCTTCTTCCGACTCGGCATTTTCGAGATTGTCGTGGAAGGTTGCAAAGATTGACTCTGTCGACACTGACCCATTGCCGCCATCATCAAACTCAACTTCTACAAGTTCCAACGCTTGTTTGGCGCGCCAGTAATTGTCAGCGACCACTGCAACACCATCGTCTGTCGAGACAACTGCGGTGACACCGCGCTGATTGAGCGCCGCTGACCCATCGAAACTTTTGACAGAGCCCCCAAATACGGGAGCCTGGCGGATCGCTGCAATTTTCAAGTCGGGACGCTGAACATCAACGCCATACTGCGCTGTGCCATCCACCTTGGAGGGAATGTCATAACGTGGCTTGGACGTACCGATGATTGTGAAGTCTTTGCGATCTTTGAGGGTGGGACTCTTGGGCGGGGAATATTCCGCCGCTGCAGCCGCTAGCTCGCCAAAGGTTGCACTCTTGCCGGAGGCGGCATGGTGTACATGGCTCAAACGAGCGGTCAATTCGCTCTCTGGCACATTCCACTTGTCAGCAGCTGCGTGGATGAGCATTTCCTTTGCTGCCGCGCCCGCAACACGCATGCCGTATTGCCCTGTGAAACGCACAGACGTTGAGCCACCTGTGATCTGGCCCACCATCATCTCTGCAATTTTGAAGAAGCTAGCATCCACAACGCCAGTGAGAGCTGAGGGAATGGGTGTCTGGCCCACAATATAGCCCTTCGCCAGCGGCCCGTTTGCCCAGACATCATCGGCAGGCGCCTGGACCATCTGAACGAGATCCCAATCGGCTTCCATTTCTTCTGCCGCCATCATGGGCATAGATGTATGAACGCCCTGACCCATTTCTGAGTGGGGCACATAGACCGTCACTTTGTTATCCGGATCTATCTTCAACCATGTCGTGGTGAAGTGTTCTCCTTCACCTGCCGCAAATGCCTGAGCACGTTCTGGTCGCGAAGATCCGAGAGTGGCATATCCAAGCAGCATGCCGCCGCCGACTACTGTGCCACCTATGAGAAGTTGTCGTCTTGTCGGTTTCATATCTCTTCCCCTTACGCGGTTGCCAGCGAACGGATCGCGGCCCGGATGCGTGGATAGGTGCCACAGCGACAAATATTGGTGATAGCTGCGTCGATCTCGTCGTCAGATGGGTTCGCATTTTCAGAGAGAAGCGATGAGACGGCCATCAACATGCCAGACTGGCAGTAGCCACATTGTGGCACCTGATGATCGACCCAGGCCTGCTGAAGCGCCGTGAGATCCGGCCCGCCTTCGTTCAACCCTTCGATGGTGGTGATATCAGCACCGGCCACAGCTTCGACAGGCAGGGTGCAGGTGCGCATGGCCTCGCCATTCACGTGCACAGTACAGGCACCGCAGGCCGCAACGCCGCAGCCGAATTTGGTGCCGGTCATACCCAACTCGTCCCGAAGGACCCACAAAAGCGGCATGTCTGGCTCAACGTCCAGCTCGTGGCCCTTGCCATTAATGGTGACAGAAATAGTCATGCGTCTCTCCCTCTGCGCGAACAGCCCGTGTGATCCCGTGTGTGGTCGGATCGGCAGTGGACTGGTGGTCATCAGCCCTCAATCAAGGGAGTTTGGGCTCGCGGTCCCGATGCAAATTGATCGTGAAATTCTTGAGAGAGAATATGGGTGAACAGGGCTGCTTAACAAGCCCATTTGCAGAAATTTAGCAGTTAAAATGAGCGATCATTCAGTGATCAAGGATCATTTCTGGCTGTTTTTCGCCATTTTGGCTCGGCGCGTCCATTAGAATGGGAAGATGGCACGTCACCTGGGTTCCCACGGAGGGCTCAGATTCCAGGGTCACCCACCCTCCGTGGAGCTCGACAAAACTTTTCACCAAGGACAGCCCAAGGCCTGCGCCGCGACGCCTGTCCGCTCCACCACGGGCTTCGAAGCGGTCAAAAACACTCGCCTGGTGCTCTGGTTTGATGCCATCCCCCGTATCCGACACAAAAAGCTTCAGCTCGTTGGTGCCGCGTTCTGCACCGATTGTGATCGCATCACCTGGCTGGGTAAAGGCGACTGCATTGGAGATCAGGTTGATCATAATCTGGCGAATGCGTTTGTCGTCAGCGCGGAATTCACCAATGTCCGGCGGACAATCTGTGAGCAGAGACACGCGGGCTTTCTGAACCCGCTGCTGCGCAAAGGCCTCGGCGCTGGAAATCACTTCAGCAATGGAGATATTGGAGAGATCAAGGGTCATGGCGCCAGCCTCGATCGTAGACAGATCGAGAATGTCATTCACCGTTGCCAAAAGCTCGTGAGACGAGTCCAGAATACCGGATGTGTATTCATGCTGCTTTGGCAGAAGCTCCCCAAACATCTCGGCTTCCAGAATTTCACCAAAGCCGATGATGTTGGTGAGAGGTGTACGCAGTTGATAGGAGACATGGCTGATAAATTCAGATTTCAGCCGGTCGGCGGTTTCCAGCGCTTCATTGCGTTCACGAAGGGCGCGCTCAATCCGCGATGCGTCCGTCACATCAACGAAGGTCAAGAGGGTCGCACCATCGGGCAGCGGTACCGTTGCGCAATCGATGATGCTCCCATCAGCGCGCTCAATGCGGTTGGATACCTGCCGCCTGCCCTCTACCGAGGTTAAGCTCGACTTCAGATCAACCCAATATGCCTCATCATCGTAGAGACCCTTGCAGGCATCTACGATGTCGCCAATGTGGGGCTCTTTGGCCAGCTGTTCTTCAGTGAGACGCCATATCTGAGCATAAACGGGGTTGTGCAGTTTCAATCGCCCGTCTGATCCAAACACAGCAACACCTTCAGACAGATTGTCCAGGGTTTCTCCCTGGACTCTCAGAGCAGTGTTGTAGTCGCTTTCCAGGTTCAGCCGCTCGGTGACATTGTCATAGATATAGATGACACCTCCCAGGGGGTGGGCTTGCGCCATCAATTGAACCGTCTGCCCGTCAGGCAGGTACCAGAACTCTTCCACTGGCTGTGTCGCCTGATAGATCTCCATCATCTGCGTCTTCCAGGCCTGGAAGTTCGCCTGCTCCGGCAGGCGCCTTGAACCGCGCAATGCATCAAGGACTTCGCTGTCCATGGGTTCGGTTGCCAGCCAGTCGGCGTCGAGACCCCAGAATTTGAGATAGGCTTTGTTAAAAAACTTCAGGCGTTTGTCGGCGCCAAAAATGGCGACGGGCGTTGCCAGTCGATCCAGGGTGCCGCTGTGTGCCTCAATGTGGCGCTGCAGCTCCCCTTCCGCATTATCAAGATCGGTCACATCAACTGCGACACCTGCGGACCCGGATGACAAGCACATATCGGTCACATGAAGGGCGCGGCGTTCACCACTGACAATGGCATGCATGCGCTGCTGACACGTCTCGCCCGCCGCTATTGCGTGGCTCGCCTTTTCGAGCACTTCATCACTCAGGAGCTCCTGGCCCTTTTCGACTACTTCCTCTGCGCTACCCAGATCGACGGCGCGGACATAAGCCTGATTGACCCACTCGAGCCTGCCGTCTTTGTCTCTGCGCCAAGCAGGCATTGCTAGAAGGTTGAGATGCTCAACAAACCGATCACGGGTTGTCTCCGCACTTGTTGCGCGATCGACAAACCGACTGATCTCTGCGCGCTCACCCGATACATCTCTGATCCACACAACAGCCTGGGCGCCGGCGGGGCGTCCCTCAGCCTCATATGTGCGTCCATCGATGGAGTGGACCGTCAGTGAAAAACGGGCGCCGCGCGACCGCAACATGTCCACCGCGTTTCGCAAACCGCCTGCGGTTTCCGGCGTAAGGCGCCGGAGCACATCTTCATAGTCCACATTGCCCGTTGCCGGGTCTGCCAGTGAAACCGTGCTGCCAGCGATTTGGGGACGCGATTGCAGCGTACCGGGCTTTGCCATCATGGTGTCAGGCGACCAAATCAGCACAGCTCCTGGCTCGGAGGCCAGGATCGCCTCGACCGTGTCCACGCGGGCACCCATGGCGACAATTTCCTGTTCATGAGCAAGCCGCTGGCGACGGGTTCTGGCGCTGGATTGCGCTGCCCAATAGGCACAGCCCATTGCCATCGCGATGGCACCGACGGAAATCAGAAAACTCATGATGAATGTGGGCTCGTTCGCAAGACCAGGCGCTACCCCGAGCACTTCTAGAAAGGGCGTTATGGCAAGAAGCGGGTCAGGCGCATCGACGGGCGCCGCTCGCACAGGCAGAGCCGACGCTGCCCACAAGGCGGCGCTCCCAAAACCCATCAGAAAGCGGGATCTTGTCCCACTATTGCCCGACGCCATGACCTGCATCTCGCACCGAACCCCCACAATCAGGCTCGATGCCCCCATTTGTTACCGCTACCCCGACAACGGCGAAAATCACCGAAGTTAGAGGATGTTACCTTCGTTTCTTCGTGTCTGCCCAGAAGTAGTTTGAGCAAGTGGTTGCGAAAGGTGGTGTCATTGGGACCCATCTGAGTCCGATAGGCAACAGTTCATTGCGGACCCGATACAAAAACCAACTCATAAACCAAAGAAAAAGCCCGGCACCCAAAATTTCAGGGGCCGGGCTTTCGCAATTTCGACGTGAGGCAGGAATCAGTAGCGATAATGGTCCGGCTTATACGGACCTTCCTGAGGCACGTTGATGTAGTCGGCCTGCTCTTTGGAAAGTGTCGTCAGTTTCACACCCAATTTTTCGAGATGCAGTGTTGCCACTTTCTCGTCCAGGTGCTTTGGAAGCACGTACACTTCGTTTTTGTAGTTCTTGTGGTTTTCCCACAGTTCGATCTGCGCCAGCACCTGATTGGTGAAGGAAGCGCTCATCACGAAGCTTGGGTGACCTGTTGCACAGCCGAGGTTCAGCAGGCGGCCTTCCGCCAGCAGGATGATCCGGTTGCCATTCGGGAACTCAATCTCATCAACCTGTGGTTTCACATTATGCCACTCGAAGTTCTTCAAAGCAGCGACCTGAATTTCGCTGTCGAAGTGGCCAATATTGCCGACGATCGCCCGGTCCTTCATCGCCCGCATGTGATCGACAGTAATGATGTCTTTGTTACCTGTGCAGGTGATGAAGATATCGCCCTGTGGCGCCATCTCTTCCATGGTAGAGACTTCATAGCCTTCCATCGCCGCCTGCAGCGCACAGATCGGGTCGATCTCTGTCACAACAACGCGAGCGCCCTGGCTGCGCATGCTTTCGGCAGAGCCTTTGCCAACGTCGCCAAAACCGGCGATTACGGCCACTTTACCGGCAATCATCACATCGGTTGCGCGCTTCACGCCGTCAACCAGGCTTTCACGGCAACCGTAGAGATTGTCGAATTTCGACTTGGTCACACTGTCATTCACGTTGATTGCGGGAACGCGCAGCGTGCCAGCTTTTGCCATTTCATAGAGGCGCAGTACACCGGTTGTTGTCTCTTCCGAGATCCCAACCACGTCGTCGAGCATGTCGTTGTATTTTTCATGCATGATCTGGGTAAGGTCGCCGCCATCATCGAGAATGATGTTGGGCGTCCATCCGTCGGGACCCTTGATGGTTTCTTCAATGCACCACCAGAATTCTTCTTCCGTCTCACCCTTCCAGGCAAATGTCGGAATGCCTGCAGCCGCCATGGCCGCTGCCGCATGATCCTGGGTTGAGAAGATATTGCATGACGACCAGCGCACGGTGGCACCGAGTGCTGTCAGCGTTTCCATCAGAACCGCAGTCTGAATGGTCATGTGGAGGCAGCCAGCAACGCGGGCGCCTTTCAATGGCTGACTGGCGCCAAACTCGTCGCGCAGTGCCATGAGGCCCGGCATTTCGGTTTCGGCAATGGCGATTTCCTTGCGGCCCCAATCGGCGAGGGAAATATCCGCGACTTTGTAGTCGTTGCTCATGGCAAAAGGCTCCTGGAAGATGATGCAAATATGTGCGCGCGGAACCACCCGTGCGGCTTAAAGACGGGTTTCTATAACAAGGCTCGGGCGGGACTTCAAGCCTCATATAAAGAATTCTTTATATCTTGATAATGGCTTTGTTACGGGTCACATCTGGCCCGCTAATTGGCGGAATTACTCGCCTTCGCCGAACTTGTCAGCGATGAGTGCCTCAAGCGCCTGAAGAGCTTCTGGGGCCTCGGCACCTTCCACCTCCACATCAATGGTGCAGCCAGGGGCAGCAGCCAACATCATGAGCCCCATAATAGAGGTGCCGCCGACGGTCTGACCCTCCCGGGACACCCGGACGTCTGCGTCGAAACCTTCGACACATTGGACGAATTTTGCCGATGCGCGAGCATGAAGGCCCCGAGCATTTGAGATGGTCAGCGTCTTCTTGAGTGTCTCTGACGGGTTTCTGGCTTGGCTCACGAGCCCTCGCCTGCGAGAACCTTACTGGCAACGGAGATGTATTTACGGCCACTGTCCTGCGCTTGCTCAACGGCGTCAGCCAAACTCACACTGTCTCGAACACTTGCGAGTTTGATCAGCATGGGCAGGTTGATGCCCGCAATCACCTCCACCTTTGCTTTGTCCATGATGGAAATAGCAAGGTTGGATGGGGTGCCGCCAAACATGTCAGTGAGCAGAATGACACCGTCGCCCTGATCAACAGCATCAACGGCCTCCAATATATCGTTCCGTCGCTGCTCCATATCGTCGTCAGGACCGATCGAAATTGAGATCACCTGAGCTTGCGGACCCACGACATGTTCCATCGCCTCGACAAATTGCTTGGCGAGCTGGCCATGGGTAACTAGGACCAATCCAATCATTTTTACGCGTACTGCTCCTCTCGGTGGGCTTTTTACGGTGAGCCGCCCGGATTGCCTGAGGCCCCCTTTGATCGGGGTAGGGCCTATCGTGACAATATTTTCACCGGAAAAACAAGGCGAATCCGCCTTTGGCGATGTCATCCGTGGGGCAGGCATCCAGGCTTATGCTTTTCCGATGCGCCCATCAGTCCCCGGGAAGCCCAATCGCGGCAAATGCTCGGCCGCGACAAGGATCTTTGCGGGGGTCGACTGATCAAATGCATGGAGTTTCAGGAGCGGAATCCGGACGCCACCAAGCATCACAAAGGAGGGTTCCGGCAGACGCGGCACTTCGCCGCGGTCAACCAGATCGATCACCAGCCTTATCGGCACATCCAGGTCATGGGGCACCGTGACAATCCCCAGGCCCCTGAGCTCCAGCTGCCCCGCCCACCCCTCTCTACAGCTTGCTCGCAAGCACGACTGATCCGATGTCAGGACCGTCTGGTCATCAGCAACCAACTGCGCTCCGCGCTCCGTGATCAGGCGATAGGCGAGATCAGATTTGCCCGATCCAGATGCTCCGCGGAGCAAAACGCCGACACCCTTGATCGCCACGCAGGTCGCATGCACGGTCTCGACGCTCACGTTTCTTTACTCGGTTTAGAGGTTTCTCTTGGTGCCGCTTTGGTGTCGGTCGTGCGGGCGGCAGGCAGTTCCACGACAAACCGCGCACCGCCCTCGTCACGGTTTTCGGCATAGATGGTTCCGCGATGGGCAAGCACGATCTGCTTGGAGATAGAAAGACCCAATCCGGAATGACGACCAAATTCTCCTTCCCTGTCGGTATGAAAGCGTTCGAAGATTTTCTCCAGACTGTCTTCGGGTACACCCGGGCCTTCATCTTCGACAGTGACCAACACGGCGTCCCCAATGCGGGCCACCTGCAAGGTCACCACACTGCCCTCTGGACTAAATGACAGAGCATTGTCGATCAGGTTGCGCAGGACCTGGCCGATGCGACTGTCAGTGCCGCGGCTCTCAAACGCCACACGGTCAGCGACGTCCTGCACGTCCAAACGCACAGACTTTCCATCCTTCGTACCCGTTGTGTTGAAGAGGTCGACAATGGTCTCCGCGAGGTTTGCCAGATTGAAAGGAACCAGTTCCTCACGCGAGAGTTCCGCATCCAAACGGGATGCCTCTGAAATATCGCTAATCAGTCGGTCAATGCGGCGGATGTCATGTTGAATGATACCCATGAGTTTTTCGCGAGCCGCGTCATCTTTCACGATGCTCAGCGTTTCAACTGCGGACCGAACAGAGGTCAATGGGTTTTTCAGCTCGTGAGCGACGTCTGCGGCGAAAGCCTCAATGGCATCAATCCGCCCATAGAGAGCATCTGTCATGCCGCGCAGCGCTCCCGACAGGTCGCCGATCTCGTCCCGTCGATCTGTGAAGTCAGGTATCTCTACACGTTCGGTCACACCCCGGGACACGCGTTCGGCGGTTTCTGCCAATCGGCGTACAGGCTCAGCGATCGTGCCTGCCAAGACAACGGAGAGAAGGATCGCAACACCGAGCGCGATCAAAAACACTTCTACAATGGCAAGCCGTTCTGCCTGGACGATCGCGTCAATGTCTCCTCCTTCGGTGGACAACATCAAGACACCCAGCACCGCCCGAAACCGTTGCACAGGCACCGCAACCGAGACAATTAGCTCGCTGCGATCATTCATCCGCTCCATGGTGGCACTAAAGCCACCCAGAGCAAGGTTCACCTCATCATAGATGCGGCCATTCTGACTGCCTGCTTCAAGATAGCGTTCATAATCAGGGCCTGGCGCAAACGACCTGAGCCAAGCCATCACCTCCACTGTCCAGCTTTGGTCCTCAGCCCCACCCACTGGTGGCAACTCGAACGCAACGATCTGGCCGGATGCCGTCAGCTGGCGGCTGTCGAGAATGAGCCAGCCGTCTTTATCGTAGAGCCGCGCGCGTGTTTGAGTCGGGAGAATAAGGCGCCGCAAAACGGGCGCTGCCGCTGTCGCGCTGATAGGTACGTCGCGGTCCTGATATTCCAGATCCGGGTCAACCCACTGATCCCGTTTCTCAAGTTCCGCCAGAGGGTCAATCACTTCTGCTTCAAGCGTACCCGCAGCCGTCTCAGCGACGGCGCCTGCAATGATTTCTGCCTGCACCAAAAGGGCTTGCTTGCGCGCGTCGATCAGGCCCTGGCGAAACTGGTTCAGATAGAGGACGCCTGCAACAAGGACGAGAAGGGCAACGACCTGAAAGACGACAATACGACGGGTAAGGCTGGAGAAACGGTTGCCGGCGACGATCCCTCTGAATGCCCAAAGGAAGGCCTCAGAAAACATCTGTGTCGCACGCTTAATGCTCGTGCCAACGCCAGCAATGCCCGTCCTAACGGCAGAAAAAACACCATGGGCACCACGGCGATCGGTGGTCGCATTGGTTGGCTGGTCTTCTCCGCGCATCATGACATTAAAATTCCCAGACCAACCCGGCGCGTTTTAGGGACCGCCAGCAAGAGGGGTCGATCACTCTTTGTATCGGTACCCCACCCCATAGAGGGTTTCGATGGCATCGAAATCATCATCTGCCTGTTTGAACTTTTTTCGCAGTCGTTTGATGTGACTATCAATGGTTCGGTCATCCACATAGACCTGATCGTCATAGGCAGCATCCATCAACTGGTCGCGACTTTTGACATATCCCGGCCGCTGGGCAAGCGCCTGAAGAATGAGAAACTCTGTTACCGTCAACGTCACCGGTTCATTGTTCCAACGACAGACATGGCGGTCCGGGTCCATGACAAGATTGCCACGTTCAAGCAGATCCCCCTTGGCGCCAGGTACCGGCTCTTCCGCGCGGGCTTTTGTACGGCGCATGACCGCTTTCACCCGCTCGACCAGCAAACGCTGAGAGAAAGGTTTTTTGATGTAGTCATCCGCTCCCATTTTGAGACCGAACATCTCATCAATCTCTTCGTCTTTGGACGTCAGAAAGATGACAGGGAGCTCCGAGTTCTGACGAAGTCTGCGCAACAGCTCCAAACCGTCCATGCGCGGCATCTTGATATCAAATACGGCAACGTCGGGCGGATTGGCGCCAAGTCCTGCAAGGGCTGCAGCACCGTCTGTATATGTCTGGACGTGAAACCCTTCGGCCTCGAATGCCATGGTCACGGAGGTCAAAATATTCTGATCATCATCGACCAGTGCAATCGTCGGCATATGCCCCTTAATCCTTCTTCTTGTGTCTTTTTTTGTGACGCATGTTTCTGACCGAAAACCGCATACACTTTTCGGAAACATGCCCCAGCTGCCTGACCTAGAGGGTTATTTGGTCCGAATTATGACGCGCCTTCAAAGACTTGGCTATAGCAGGCCGTCATCCCAAGCCGACAGGTCCCATTTGACAGGGAGCGCGCAAGAATGCTCAATCGACCGCACAGGCAGGAGAAACGCTGCTGAACGCTGTTAAGCGCCCTCAAAGGGCGCTACTGGGGGTTAATATGAAACGCATCGGGCTCATTCTAATTGGACTGATGGTCCTGGTAGTAGGGATTGCATTGGTGCGCACGCTAACGCTTTCGGGTCCAGACACCGCCTCGTCCGGCGCGGTGGACCCGGTCGAGATCGATGCAGACGCAGCAGCAAACCGTTTGGGCGAAGCTATTCAGTTTGAAACGCTTTCGACACAGTTCGCGCGGGAAGAAAAACGTGCTCCCTTTGTCGAGTTCCGGAATTGGGCTGAGGCAACCTATCCTACCTTTCACCGTGTCGCATCCCGGGAAGTGATCAGCAAATATTCTCTCTTCTTTACCTGGGAAGGCAGCGACCCATCGCTGGAGCCCATTCTACTTATGTCCCACATGGATGTCGTGCCCATCGCACCTGGGACAGAGCAAAACTGGGAAGAGGATCCTTTCTCCGGAAAAGTTGCAGACGGCTTCATCTGGGGCCGAGGCGCCATTGACGATAAAGGGTCTTTGATAGCGATTCTGGAAGGCGCTGAACATCTCGCAGCGCAGGACTACCAGCCACGGCGGACCATTCACTTCTTCTTTGGACATGATGAAGAAGTAGGTGGCCCAAGCGGTGCGCAGAAAATGGCCCCACTTCTTCAAGAGCGTGGCATTCGCCTACACTGGGTGGCTGATGAGGGAGGCGTAGTTGCAGACGGATTGGTGCCCGGCGTCGACAGTCCTGTCGCCCTTGTTGGTGTCGCAGAGAAGGGATACGTGACACTCGACCTGACTGCCTCCGCACCTGGCGGACATTCCTCTATGCCACCGGGCGCAACCGCGATTGGTCGCCTTGCAACGGCGATCGACCGGCTCGAAAACACTCCCTTTTCTGGTGGTATTGCAGGACCGGTTGCAGACATGTTGGATGCGATTGCTCCCTCAACCCCGTTCGCTTTGCGCTTTGCTCTGGCAAACCGCTGGATCACGGGATCGCTTGTAGAGGCCAATCTTCGCAGCAACCCCACAATGGCGGCTGCGATGGCAACGACCATTGCGCCAACTTTGATCAATGCTGGCGTGAAAGAAAACGTGCTACCGCATTCTGCGAGCGCCAAAGTCAATTTCCGCATTCATCCCCGTGACACCGTTGAGAGCATTGTCGCTCATGTCACCGCGGCGATTGATGATGAGAACGTCAAGGTGAGCGTGTTCAATCCAGGTCGCGAAGCAAGTGCTGTCTCCAGCACAGAGTCTGACGGGTACCAGATCATCTCGCAGACCATTCGGGATACGTTTGATGGTGCTGTTGTCGCGCCCAACCTCGTTGTTGGCGGAACTGACGCACGGCAGTTCGAGCTGGTGTCAGACAATGTCTATCGCTTCATCCCGATTGTGCTTGGCCCCAATGACACAAGCCGTTTTCACGGGACCAATGAACGCATCACTGTTGAGAATATGGGGAAGGCGGTTCAGTTCTATGTGCGCCTGATCGAGCGGGGCAGCGAATAAGCTTCTACGCACCATCTACAAATAAAAACGCCCGGCCAATGAGCCGGGCGTTTGCTTTTGCGTGAAGCGTCTTGTTTAGAGTTCGCTTGCAGGCGTGTCTTCGATTTGCTCCCAGAGCTCATCAGCCGTCGCAATCTTGCCAGGTACATCCTGCAGCCACAGGTCCTGAATTTTTGCATCGAGGTTCAGGTACAGACGCTCGTCAACAATGCGCCATACTTCTGGGTCGCCGAAGAATTTCTTGCCAACAGACACACCGAATGCGCAGTAGCCGCCATAGGCTGGCAGGAACTTCGCTGGGTCAGCGTCGAAGGTTGCTTTGTTTTCGGCACTAGAGAAGAGATAAGTCACACCGTCATGGACAGAGACGTTGTGGCCATTGCCGCGCAATGGTTTCGGGTTGGCGTGATAAGAAACGAGATCATATCCGGCGACACCAACCGTTGAGTGACCATCTGCTGCCTGGGCAACCTGGACACCCAGCAGGAGGAAGGCAGCAGCGGCTGCCGTGAAGAATGCTTTTACAGATACCATGGGTCTTCTCCTTGACTTGGTTCAGCTCCCCGGCCCCAAGCCGGTGGAAACTCCATGAAGAGGAAACAGATCTGTTTCCTTGGGATCAGAGATAGACAGTTCGGTTTCCTTGTTCAAGGCACAGCCTCTGCGCGCCAAATACCACACAAGACATTGTTTTTAATAGGATTTACCGACATTCAGACTAAAGTCTCACAGTCATGTGATCGACAATGAGCTATTAGACCCTATATTCTGAGAAACAAATCTGTTTCGGAGAAATGCGATGCCTCAAAGTCGGCGAGATCATTTGATGGCGGTCGCCCGTGACCTGTTTATCGAGCATGGCTTTCATGGCACGGGCATCGACAAGATATTGGGAGAGGCAGGCGTCTCCAAGAAAACGCTCTATACCCATTTCAGATCCAAAGACGAACTCATCCTGGCAGTTCTCAAAGAACATGATGGCAGCTTCCGCAATCATTTCATGCGCCAGGTTGAACAGGTCTCCACCGATCCTCGAGCCCGCTTGATGGCTGTGTTTGATGTGGCCGAAGCCTGGTTTGAGACGCCAAGTTTTTTTGGATGTGTCTTCATCAATGCTGTCGGTGAATATTCTGAAGCGGATGCGCCCATCCGGAACGCCTGCCGTGACTTTAAAAGACAGATGACGGACTTCATTGTCCGGCTCGCGAAAGAGGCTGGTGTGGCAGACTATACCTCGCTGGGCAACCAACTATCCCTCCTGCTTGAAGGGGCGATTGTTACAGCACAGGTGTCTGACAGAGAGATCGCGATCAACTCAGCCCGCTCGGCGGCGGCGATCCTGATTGATAAGGCGCTGGAACATTAGGCCCGCTTGATCGGCCGCTTAGAGACAAGTGAGAAGCGAACGACTTGCAGCCCTACGGACAAAAAGACCGCCGCCCCAATGCCGATCTGAAGACCAACAGCGCCGAGATCAAAATGAAAGGCGCAGGCCCACGCTACCGGCACGCCGACACACCAGAATGCGAAGATGTGCATGAACATGGGCACCCAGACATCGCCCATGCCGCGCAACGACCCCATGGCGACGTTCATCATGCCATCTGCAACAATAAAGAGGCCCGCCGCAAGAAGCGTCCAGCGGGCAATCTCAAGCACCGCCAGTTCATTTACATAGAGCGAGGCAATGCCATAAGGCACGACCAGCATGGCGATGGCCGGTAGAGAGAGCAGGATCGCGACCAAGCCCAGTCCAACCCATCCAGCCATGCGGACACCTGCAGGGTCCTGACGCCCAACGGCGTTCCCAACGCGCACAGCTGTCGCGGCTGCCATGCCGATGGAGGCCATGACCATGAGTGCGACCGCATTGTTGGTGATCTGGTGAGCAGCAAGGGCCGCCGGGCCGATCGCCCCGGCCATAAAGACAAGCGAGGAAAAGGCCGCCGATTCCAGCCCATAGGCCATGCCAGTTGCGGCCCCAAGGTTGCGCATCTTGGTGCCGAGCGCCCCACTCAGCCTCACAGCATCATGACCAATTTTTTTCCAGGGTGCCCAAACACCAAACTGATCCTCGCCTTGGCGTAGCGGCAACGAAACAATGTATCCCACCATGGCAAGCGCAGCGACCCACCGCACAGCAGAGGTCGCAATCACCGCACCGTCGGCGCCCAATGCGAGACCAGTGCCTCCCCAGCCGAAGATCAGCATGCCGTTCAGCGCAAAGTTCAGAATGTTCACGATAAGCATCACCGTCATGCCCACCCGCGGGCGTTGAACACTCTCTAGAAAGTAGCTTGAGGCAACATAGAGCAGCATGGCGGGCATGCCCCATCCGAAATGGATCGATGTGCTGCCACCGCCGGCGGCAAGAGAGGGAGACTGTCCGAACAGCAAAAGAAGGCTCTCGCCTGCCAGGCAGATAAGACCCAGCACGACACCCAAGACGAGCGCGTGATAAGTGCCTGAGCGCCAGACCTCCCCACATCTTTTGTGTTCTTCGGCCCCATAGGCTTGAGACGAGAGGATCATAGTGCCCTGCAAAAGGCCGATGCACACGAGCATGATGACGCCCTGGATCGCCATGCCGAGGCCCAAGAAAGCCAATTCTTCGCCACCGACCTGCCCCACCATGACCGTGTCCACGGTAAAGAGGACGAGTATCCCGGCGCGCGCGACAATCACCGGCCCTGCCAGTGTCAAAGTGCGCTTCACATGTTCCATCAGGGACATGTCGTCGGCATGGGGCGGCAGGGAGGCCGGTTCAGTCATGGGCGTTGAGCTTCAATACAAAAAGCCATGGGTAGATCCCATGGCTGCGACGTGCAAGTCGGATTATCTTTCCGAACTGGGCCGAGTATAAAGAGTGACCATGGCCAGCACAGAGAAAAAACAGTCGATAGAGGCAGCAAGAGATCTGCTGGCACAGACCCGCGCGGGTGCGCTCGGTTCTATCAATGGTGATGGAAGCCCGCTGGTCACGCTGGTGGCGGTCGCGACAATGGAGGATGGTGCGCCGCTCTTGCTGCTGTCGCAAATTGCGGCCCACACCCAAAACCTCCTTCGAGAGCCCCGCGCTTCATTGTTGCTGGAAGGCACAAGCAACGATCCTGACCCTATGACGGCGCCGCGCCTGTCGCTCAATGGGCTGATTGTGGCACTGGACGAAGACCAGATCATCGCCGCCAAACCTCGTTTCATTGATAAGCACCCGGGGTCTGTGACTTACGACACCGAGCTTGATTTCCACTATTACCGCCTCGCTATTGAGAGCGCGCGCTTCAACCAAGGGTTCGGCCGGTTCCGGAAGCTTGGGCCCAGCGATCTTCTGATCGCGGGCTAAATCCAGAAAGCCTGCCATGCCCCTCCAGATTGACACCATAGAGACAAGACGGCTCCTTCTTACGGCCCTCTCCTTCAATCATTCCGACCCCATGTTCAGACTCTGGTCGCATCCTGATGTGTGCCGCTATTCTGGCACCGTCACAGACTATGACCGGATCGAGATCCAGATGCCCGCTGCCTCCCCTGCAGAGAGCGACAAAATCATCGACTTTTGGCAACGTGCGGCCGCGGACGGGTGGGGCTTTCGATGGGCCATGCTTGATCGCTCGAGCAGCCGCATGTTCGGGCATATTGGCTTCAACTCTCTCGGTCCGGTCAGCGAGCTGGCCTACCACCTCCATCCGGATCATTGGGGAAAGGGCATCATGTCAGAGGCCGCGGCGGCCGCTATTGACTGGGCGCGACAGTCGACACCTGAAACCACATTGGAGGCCTTCATTGCCCCGGAAAACAAAGGCTCAATTAGGCTGGCGCTGGGCCTCAATTTTACACCGACGGGCCAATTCTCAGATGGTGCGGAGTGCTATCGGCTTGAGCCCCTCACCCCCGCTCAATAAGGGGCCATTCAGCCTGCCGGTTAACCCTGTTCTGAGGGCCCAAAAGTGGCTTTAGGCAGAGTGTTCTAAACCCCTGGCAAAAGGTCCCAAAACGCGCCCGAATCCTGTTGCAGAAGCCCGACCGCCTCACTATGGTGGCCGCCACTTGAGAAGCCTTCGCATAGGGTGAGCCACGCAATCCAAGATGTGGTCGTCCGCCCCAGCTGAGCCAGGCTTTTGGGCCCCGGATGGGGCCGGAAACCCTCAGCCACGGAAACGCTTGAGGATTCTCAGTTGCAGGAACAGTTAGCGGAAATTGGAGCGGGTCTGCCCGCCATAAACCAGTTTCGGTAACCCACGGTCGGTGCATACGACCGAACAGGCGAGACGCGAAGGAGAGCGGACGTGAAACAGACGGGTCGGCACATCAGCAAAAATGGTGTGGAAAATCAGGGTCTCAAAAACCTGGCACAGGTAAACTGGAATTTGAAGCCAGCCGCTCTTTATGAAATCGCGCTGAAGCGCGGTGAAGGCGAACTCTCCTCAGGCGGCGCTTTTGTCAGCCGCACAGGTGAACATACGGGCCGCTCCGCGCAGGACAAATTCGTTGTCAAAGACGACACCACCAAAGACACCGTCTGGTGGGATAATGCGAAAGCAATGACCCCGGAACAATTTGACCTTCTCCACGCGGACATGCTGGCACACGCAGAAGGCAAAGAGCTCTTTGTTCAAGACCTTTTCGGCGGCGCCGACCCAACCCACCGCCTGCCAACACGTGTCTTCACAGAGCTTTGCTGGCACTCTCTTTTCATTCAGAACCTGCTCATCGAACCCAAGCCGGAAGAGCTTGATGATTTCGATCCAAAGTTCACCATCATCAACCTTCCAAGCTTCCGCGCCGACCCTGAAAAGTATGGCTGCCGGACCGAGACGGTGATCGCGTGTAACTTCATTAAGCGGATTGTTCTCATCGGCGGCACGTCTTATGCCGGTGAAACTAAGAAGTCTGTTTTCTCCATGCTGAATTACGAACTGCCTGGCAAAAAAGTTATGCCGATGCATTGTTCGATCAATGTGGGTGACGATGGCGATTCAGCCATTTTCTTTGGTCTGTCTGGCACAGGCAAAACCACTCTTTCCGCTGTCGCATCTCGGACACTGGTTGGTGATGACGAGCATGGCTGGTCCGAAAACGGTGTCTTCAATTTTGAAGGCGGATGCTACGCGAAGATGATCAATCTCTCCGCTGAAGCCGAGCCTGAAATCTACGCAACGACGCAACGTTTTGGCACCGTGCTTGAAAATGTGGTGCTCGACCCGGAAACCCGCGAGATCGACTTTGACGATAAGTCGCTGACAGAAAACACACGCGGCGCTTATCCCCTGTCTTTCATTCCAAACGCGTCAGACACGGGCCGCGCAGGCCACCCAAAGAACATCATCATGCTCACAGCTGATGCGTTCGGGGTTCTGCCTCCCATCTCCAAACTCACACCATCACAGGCCATGTATCACTTCCTGTCTGGCTATACCGCGAAGGTTGCTGGCACAGAGAAGGGTGTTACTGAGCCCGAAGCAACATTCTCAACCTGCTTTGGCGGACCGTTCATGTCTCGTCACCCGAGCGAGTATGGCAACCTGCTCCGCGACCTGATCGCAGAGCACAAGGTTGACTGCTGGCTGGTAAATACAGGCTGGACCGGTGGCGCCTATGGTACTGGCAGCCGGATGCCTATTAAAGAAACACGCGCACTTCTCGCCGCGGCCCTTGATGGCAGCCTTGCAAGTGTTGAGTTCCGCACGGACGCTAACTTCGGCTTTGAAGTGCCTGTCTCGGTCCCAGGTGTCGATAATTCGATCCTGAACCCACGCGACACATGGTCTGACAAAGACGGCTATGACGCGCAGGCGAAGAAGCTCGTTTCCATGTTCATTGAGAACTTCAAGATTTATGAAGCCCATGTGGACCCAGACGTTCGCGATGCGGCGCCAGCTCCCGCACAGGCTGCTGAATAAGACATTCGCTCAGTCAGAGTGACAACGACAAAAGGCCGGGCTTAATGCCCGGCCTTTTTTAGTGGGTGGACCCACGCCAGCCGCCAGGCCGACGCGGGACTTCCTGGTGCTTAGAACGAGTAGCTCAGATTGACGGAGACGAAATCCTGGTCACCGTCTGATGAGTATTTCTCGTTCCCAAAAAGGTTGGTGTAGGAAATGCCGCCCCGCCAGGCATTCTGATAGCTGCCATTGACAGCCAGGCTCATCGACTTGGTCCCCTCGCGATAGTTACTCAGAGGTGCCGGGGAATTACCCTTCACGTCATGGGACCAGGACAGGCTGGGGCTTACCGTAATCGGCGTTCCAAATGCATTGTTGTACTGCAATTGTCCAACCAGCACATAGCCGTAGGAGAACTGGGTTGGACGACAACCGGCACGGTTGGACAGGCCAACGAAACTCCCGAGAGGCAGGTCAGTTCCTGAGGTACAGACATTGCCCCACTGGGTGACACTAAAGTCGCCTTCGTCAGGCACGTCGGGCACCCACATGGCGCCAAGCTCCGTCAACAAGATGCCAATATCTGCTCCCAGGAATCCAACAATCGGATTTGAGTTGGTATAGGTCGCTGTTGTTCCGATACCGAAGGTCATGACTTCTTCGCGAATGGCGCCCGAATAGTCGGCAACTTCACCATTTGCCACCGAGCCACAAGTTTGATTGGCACCATAAGTCTGAAGCGCATCGACAGTCGACGTCATCGTGTCGACTCCCAGGATGTCGTCCAAGATGCAGGACGCACCCAATGCCGCGAGTGTGATCTGGTCGGTATCGGCCTGGAAAGGCTGGTCGTGCCGGATTGCTACCTCGCCCTGCACGCCCCAATCACCCAAGGTGGTGTTGAAAGACATGCCGAACAATTTGATGTCTTCGGGATACTCGAAGTAGAGGCCCGTTGATTCAAGCCCACCTACAGACGAACCCACGACGAGTATTTCCGTCCCATCAACCTGCAGACCGGTTACCGGATCGGTTTGCGCCAGTGACAAATTACAATTGGTAATCATGAGTTCCAGTTGGCTCCCGTCCGCGACGGCGAAGCCCCCCCCAATTGCGGCATTAAGCGCCAGGGCATCTGCAGAGGTCGCACCATCGCCGACCACCGCTTCTGCCGCCGTCACCAGGCCGTACTGGTCATTTACAGTTTGGCCATTCAGATAGATTAGCTTGTCTATCCCTCCTGTTCCCAGAGCAGCGAGACCTGCGGTCCCACCAGCAGTACAGCCCGCATTCAGCGATCCACGCGTGGTCGCATCCGAGCTGTCACCAGATGCGACATATGTGCGAACTGCTGAGTTGCTTGCATCCTGGTTGTTGAAAAATTTCTCACCAACGATCGGCAGACGCGAATGATAGTTCATGAAGTAGAAGCCGAACTCTGTGGAGTTCAATTCTTCCGCATACCACCGAAGCGCCAGCCCATATTGCCCCCGATCGTCGGCTTCCTCATCCTGCAGACGCCGGATGTCTGCAGTTCCGCCGTTCAGGTCCAATCGGTATTGTTCGCTCTGGCCGATCGGCAGATCAGTCTGGTAATCCAAAAAGGCGTTGGAGCCCGTCGCACAACTGAACTGTGACAGGCCCGCTGCGTCATAGGCCGCGTCAAACGCAGCGGTGAGGCCGTGGGGCTGACTACAGTTCCGGTTGAGGAAGCCGCCGCCATCGGTGCCGCTCGTTACCCAGGTGGCGGCATTTTCGTTCCCGCCGGACCCTGATCCGACGCGCGCTATGTCGGAGGTAGAGAAGGGCGTCCCCGGGCGGTCGAGCGCAATCGGCTCGAATTCCAGCTGATAGAAAGCTTCCAGCGAGAGATCATAGGGCAAGCCCAAAGAGGCATAGGCACCCCACACAGGGAGCAGTCCCTCTTTGATTTCCGCGCCTGGACGGCGGAAGGCGTTTACATCAAATGGGCTCCAGGAGCTGATGCCATTCAGAATGAATGTCGCCTCACCCCAGTTCACCACCTGTTTTCCCAGGCGCACATTGAGTGGGAGGCCGCCCACGTCAAAATCACCCGAGGCATAAAAATCCAGCAGATCAATATCACGTGCTGCATCAGGATAGCCTTCGGAGCGCAATGCAGAGCGTTCGTATGAGTCTCCATCTCCCAAAACGGCGTCATAGAACGAACTCAGGCGCGCGAAGAACTTGTAGTTCTCATAGTTCGTCTGAATGTCATTCGTCATCTTGATGGTCGCTGACGTCAGATCACCCTGATCAAAGTTCAGACGGCTGTCATCGGAGTTGATGGAGCCTGCATAATTGGTGGTGTCCCCCGTCGCCAGACTTAAATTCGCCGTTGCCCCGTGCAGCGCAGTCGCAACCGTGCCAGGCGCGCGCCCTACCGGATCCGCGATAACAGCTGTCGTATTGACTGGTCCACCGTTCCCGGGCGCAACAAACATCATATTGCGTTCTGCAACACGCATCGAAACACCAGCCGAGACAGTCGTGTCCAAAAACACCTGCACACCACCGAAATTATATTCAAGCGCCGCTGACGGCTGCAGAGATAAGGCTACAGCCAGAGTTGCGACACTTGCGGAGAACATTGTTCTCCCAAGAGCATTTTTCATTGGGTCCCCCCCATAAATTGAGTTGGAACAATGTGCTGGGGGGAGCCTCACCCAATCACCTCCCGTATCGACACACATTGTTCACACGATCAATCCGAGGGAACGGTATTGGCAGTGCGAGGGTCAATTTTCAAAATTCGTTGAAGAATTGGATCTGTTTAGAATTTCGATTCTGTCGTGATACGTGACATTAGGGGCACGCATTTTTGCGCTTCTATTCAACACTCTGCGACATTCGTTGAATTGGTTGCCACTGATCTGCGCGGCGTTTCTCGGCGTCTCATCCATCAGGAATCGCACTCTAGCAATGCCCGGACGTAAGACGTTAAGGCCGGTACGTCGGCACCATCATCGAAGCTTGTGCTTAGGGAAAAAACGGTGCGCCCGAGAAGAACGTTGAGGCATAAAAAAAGCGGTCCCGGATGAGGGCCGGGACCGCCGATTTTCACTTCACGATTTCAAACCTGATAATCGCATTTTGAGGGATGCTGACTGCCAGGACGGTCGATAGTGAAAATGGGAACCGCCTGATTAGGGAGGAGGGAGGTTCCCGTTCCCGCCCCAGCCTTGCGGCTGGAGCGGAAATTCTTGTCACTTAGAACGAGTAGCTTACGTTGATGGAAACAAAGTCCTTGTCGCCATCTTTCGTGTACTTCTCATTGCCGAAGATATTCGTGTAAGAGAGCCCACCACGCCATGCGTTCTGGTAGCTCCCATTCACTGCCAGGCTCACCGACTTGGTGCCTTCACGGTAGTTGGAGAGAGGTGCAGGGGAGTTACCCTTCACGTCATGCTGCCAAGCTATCTGAGGCGTCAATGTGATAGGTGTGCCAAATGCGTTGTTGTACTGCAACTGACCGACCAGGACGTAGCCGTAGGCGAACTGTGTAGGACGGCAGCCACTGCGCGAACTCAATCCAAGGAAGCCTTTGAGCGGCAGGTCCGTACCCGATGTACAAACATTGCCCAATTGCGCAACATTGAAGTCTCCTTCAGATGGAACATCCGGCACCCACATGGCACCCACTTCTGTAAGGAGGATACCGAGATCAGCACCAACAGCTCCAACCAGTGGATTTGAGTTGGTGTAGGTCGCAGTCGTGCCGACGTCAAACGTCATGACTTCTTCACGAACGAAACCATGATAGTCACGAGTTTGTCCCACACCTACGGTGCCACAGGTACCGCCTGCAATGGTTTGACCACCATCTACTGCGGCCGTCACGACAGTTGGGCTCAGGATTGCGTCAAAGATGCAGGTTGCCCCCAGAGTCGCGATTGTGATCTGGTCCGTGTCTAGCTGCAGTGGCTGGTCATGGCGGAAGGATACCTCACCTTGGACGCCCCAATCACCAACAGTGTGTTGAAAGAAGCACCAAACAGCTTGATGTCTTCAGGATATTCGAAGAACAGCCCAATCGATTCTGTACCACCAATTGGGGTCCCAGCAGCAACGATCTCCGTGCCATCTGTCAACAGGCCTGCGCCAGGATCAACCTGACCAAAGACAAGCGCGCAGTTCAGAATAGCCAATTCCAGCAAGCTGTTGTCGGTGACGGCGCCACCGGCGGCAGCAAGTACTGCCGCTGACGCAAGAGCCTTAGCGTCACCCCCGACTGCGGTCTCAGCTTGTGCAAAGACGCCATACGTGTCGTTGATAACCGTATTGTTCATGTAGGCGAACTTTGCTGGATTGAGGACCGCAGTTGCTGCGCTCAACGTCCCAGCGGCACCACACCCGAGTGAGTTCGTACGTGCAGCTGTGCCCGCATTGTCCCCAACTGCACTATAGCTTCTGAAAACAGAGTCGCCTCTGTTGGTGTAGCGTTGCGATGCAATCGGGAGGCGAGAGTGATAGTTCATGAAGTAGAAGCCAAACTCAGTAGAGTTCAGGTCTTCCGCATACCAGCGCAATGCCAGGCCATATTGACCAGAATCTTTCGCAAGACGATCTTGGTCTCTTGCGATATCACCTGGGCCGCCATTCAGAGCCAGCCGGAAGCTCTCACTCTGTCCGATTGGCAAGTCTTGCGAGTAGTCCAGAAATGCGTTCGTACCACCTGCTCCACAGACAAACTGAGTTAGCCCGGCATTTGTGTAAGCGGTATCAAAGAGCCCGGTCAAAGCATCCGGTGTGGAACAGTTTCGGTTTAGAAAACCACCGCCGTCTGTACCAGATGTTACGAATGATTTCGCACCAAAGCTGCCACCTGCGGAAGATCCAACGCGTGCAACGTCAGAGCCAGAGAAAGGAGTTCCAGGGCGGTCTAGGCTGAGTTCTTCAAACTCGAGCTGATAGAAAGCTTCCAAAGATAGATCGTAAGGAAGCCCAATCGATGCATAGGCACCCCAAACAGGCAACAGACCTTCTTTAATCTCAGC